GAAATTCCCTCTAACGGGGGGGATGATGTGACAACCCGAAATTTTTTTCCTTATAAGTCCAGCCATTCAATTCAACCGAGTGTCAGACCCGTTTCTGCTATCTTTTAGCATTGTTTAAAGTCTGTTTAAGGGTTCAAAACTCAGTACAATCAAGCTATGGGCTCAGGGAAGTGCCAGCTAAAGTTCTTCGCGTTGAAATCGAGCCGAACACTCCATCCAAGGGAGTGTACGGCCGTACACCCATGTTGACCGTACACTCTCCCCCATAAGTAGAGGATCCCTACATTGCTAGCCATTTCTTCAACTCCCAAGTCTAGAAATTGGATTTCTCTCTCAACTATCATCAAGTTCTTCATCCAAATCCTCCAAAAATCGTAAGTGATCCTTCTACCCTTCTTGATATCTTCCTTGGTGTTGTAAACATCTCTTGATTCATCCATGAAAACATCCTTTTTATGTTAGATCTTCAAGATCTTCATCTTTCACCAAGAACACACACTTGTTCTTGGTGGCCGTGAACACCCTTTTTGAGCCTCCAAATTGTAAGTATCCTTTCCTTATGCTTAGTACACATTACGAACTCTTGTTAAACACCCTCAAATCGACCATTTAGCTGGAACAAAACGATTGTACGGCCGTACACCCTTGTATGGCCGTACACACCTCAAAACACCCCAAAAGGGCCTCCAAAGTGAGAACCTAGTTCATATTCTTGATGAGCAATAGACCCTCAAGCTTCCCCATTGTTCAAAGACCCTCTTTTGCATATTCCTTCTATGGGTGTACGGCCGTACACTCCATGGCCATACACTCATGGCCATACACACACCTTGACCGTACTCCCCTGGCCGTACACTCTCTTGTATGGCCGTAGACCCCTTTTAGTCAATCACATGTGATTGTAACCCTTAGTTTCAAGTGTTTCCTAGTCCCTAAGGGTGTTTCCTTGCATGTTAGTTGTCCAAAACACTAACTACATGCCTATATATGCCATTATATGTCATTTGGGACTCGTTTGTGTCTCGGGAATTCATTCGTGGAACTTTTCATCCTTACGCAAACTTTCAATCGAATCAAACACATAACGTGAGTTCATACCCCTATATTTTTCCGAATTTTTAATGTTTTCAGGGGGGGGGGGGGGGGAATACAAGTAAAAGCACAAGTAATCTTGTGTTCAAAAATATTATTTTGTTTAATATATTTTCCATCATTAGTATACATCGAAGGTAGAAATCAGTTTTACAAAACGTATTAGGATTCAAACCTTGCAAAAGCAGTTTTCAGAACTAAGGAAACAAACTTATGAATTATGAAATAAAAGATATTATTTTATAAGGATTCATGTTAATAACAAAAAGGGTTTTCATAGTATTATTCGTGAATTCGTTGAGAGAGCCAGCAGTGTGAGACGCCTTGTAACCAGAGTCTCCTGAGAGGGAGAGCGTGAGTTTGTGTATAGATCTATACGGGCGTGACAAACCCGCACCCTGACTATTAGCTACAGTCAACCTAAGGGTGACAAACATCATTTTTATCGACGTACGTCCGAGTACGTCGTATTGTTGATCGTCCATAGTATGGTTATAAGAATCCACAGGTGAAACAACGACTCATTCACATAATAATACACCTAACAATCAGTCATCAAGGATTAATAACTATGTGATAACTTAGTATATACACTAGGGTAATATGAAATTAACATCCGACTTGCAGTGGGATGTGTGATCTCCGCCTCATTTCCTGTTCCTTGTTTGGTTGTGGGCTTAGGGCAGAATCACCCAGTCGACTGTTTGTTCGATCTATATTTCTATAACTCGTATGTACTAAGTAATCACAGGAGGGTATTAACAACACTTTCAGGATATAGGACTCTACGTTTTCAACTAGTTTTATTTATGTAATAAGACTAATCTACACTACTAGAGGTAGCCAGGGTTTTCAAAAAGAACAATGCTTAAACAATATAAGTATGGTAGAAACTTGTACTTTTCGATTTAGAACGGATAATTCAATAACTTACACTTAGGGAAAATATAGGATTTTGTAGAGTAAACATCAGTATTTTATAAACAGGTGGTTTATTATTCAACTAACGAATATTCATATTAATTCCATGACTCCTTAGTTTATGCATCCGAGTTACATATGAAGAATACCCGATAGACTGTGAAATGTGTGGTTTCCGCCTCATTCCCTATTCCTTGTTTGGTTGTGGGTCTAGGGCAGATCCACACAATTAACTGTCTATTCGATATTGGTTTATGCGTAACTAGTATGAACTAAGAAGTCATAGAAGGAATGGGTTAATCATGCTTTTCATAAGAAAATAATGGATTTTATTGAGGAACACTTTCAATGGATATCAAAGAATCAATACAGTTAACTTTGTAAGTACCTAGTGAATACTTCAGGATTATGTACATGAGGATCCGACAACCAGTGGAATGCGTGGCATCCGCCTCATTTCCTGTTCCTTGTTTGGTTGTGGGCTTGGGGCAGAACCACACAATCGATTGTTTGTTCGATCTGGATTGTATATGATTTGTATACACTAAGTACTCGCAAGAGGAACTGGTAAGAATCACTTTTACTTAAGGTTTATACATTCATTATATCAGAAAATATAAGGTTTTCTGGAGAAAGATAACGCGCTTTTCAAAGGATCAAAGATTAGTTTTTCCAAAACAAAATGCTTATGAACTCACCAGCGTTATGCTGATACTCTTTCAAAACCTACTTGTATTCTCAGGACATTAGTAGACAGGTACACGTCCGGATTCAAGAAGATGGAGCATCGTAGCTCGAGTCTTTACTTGTTATTTACTTTTGGAGTCAATCATGTATGATTCAAACGTAATGTAAACACTAAACTATTAATACAATGCTTGTTGTTGCTTTGATTACTATTATTCAATTGTTGTGATACTGTACATGACGTCCTTCGCCCCCGAACGTTTCCGCCGTTCCGGTTTGGGGGTGTGACTGCATGCCATCAAAATCGTGTGGTTGGTGGTACCGGGCACGACCCACGTCCACCCCGACATATATATATATATATATATATATATATATATATATATATATATATATATATATATATATATATTATATATTATATATATATATATATATATATATAGGTACTTACCTATGTCAGGCCCGTCATTGACATTTCGTAGGCATTGTGGGAAAATCAAACTGATGCCCCATAATTTTAGTTTTGTAAAAGATTATTAAGTTATTTTGCTACTGTTAAATTCAAAATTTAAAAATGTTAACAAACATCTCATAAATTCACTACCAAAATATCATGTCTTCACTAATTAGTTATAAGTTGTAACTATTACAAACAAATTTTCAAAAAAAAAGAAAAAGATAAAAAGTCAGCGGATTACTATTTTCTCAACATCAATCTTCTAGTATTTTTATAAAAAATTCATTTTTTACACTTTCATAATCAATATTATCAAGAAATTCGTTCTCAATTGAAATTAAGCCGCAACGTTTAATCTCTCTTGAGAGATGGTCGAGCACAAATAAGATTTTAAAAAGCTTTTTTCGGTTGATGCAACTATAATGAGAATAATCAAAAATATTTTGTATGATAGACAAGAAAATTGATAGATGTTTTTTTTAAGAAATTTAGTATTGGGTTAACTGTATTATGTTCAAGTGGTAAATGTTTTTGTAACAATTCAAGTTTGTTGAATAAATCACCAACATTGATGTCTGAGATATGACCATTTTATAACCTCTTTGCAAGATTTTTGCAACTTTCCTTTAACTCACTAGTATTTGGTGATTTCAACTTTTCTATTATGAATAAGAAACCAAAAATATCTTCATATTGTTTGTATTGTTCGAACCTTTCATACAACAAACCAATAACTTGATTAACTATGTACACAAAATACTGAATCATGAATGACTCATGAGGTGAAAGTTCATGTATTTGTTCTGATGACCCAACATCATTGTCATAAGAATCTATTTTTTTAAAATTAATCTTTTATTATTTTTGTCAACAAACACCGTATCAATTCTTAAATCAAAAGTTATAGCTCTCGCACAATCCCAAGCCTTGTCAAATTCATTTTCTCAATAGTTGTTAAAAAACTCAAAAATTGCTCCCACGCTACTCTTTGTCTCATCAATACACATAGTCTTAGAATGAATTTGTTTGCTCAAGTTGTTTACTTAAACCAATATATGATACTATATAACCAAAGCAACTATAAAGACAAATTTGCCAAGTTGATACACAGTTAAACAAGTAGCCTCACTTTTGATCTTTACTTATATGTCTTTTCATCAACAAGTTTATATAGAGCTTTTACTATTTCAAGAGCTTGAGTCACTATTGTTTTCACACTTCAATTCTATTTTCTCACCTTACAGTTGACAACGATTTTAGAAATAAATTTGTATTTTTCTTTGGATATAGATACTTCCCTTAGATTTGTGATAAATTTTAGAAATTATGATCAAATTTTGATTTTTCAAATTTCTTTGATAATTTGATAAGTAAAATGACTTCAAGATTGCAAATAAATATTACATTGTATATATAAGTAACCGACACGACTGCTTTTCTATAATAATAGCACATAAAAATGTGTTTTTATAAAAATACAAACATCATAAATATATATACATTTGTCCCAAAATTCAGATGCCCTTAAAATCGGAGGCCCCATACAACTGCACCGCTTGCACACCAGGGCCTATGTGCTTGTAGTTTTTGGTTACATATTTGAAGAAATAAAATTTCTTACGAGATTGGTAAACAAGATAAGTTTGAAACGCAAAATAGTAATTTTATTTGGTTTTATTATGCATTTTTCAAGATGATATTTATGATTAGAAAGATAATTCGTTCTCATTCGATCTAATTGGTAATTCCGATATTTATGATTCGGGTCGGGTTCTCATTCGACCCGACTATGCCTCCATCCCAATTTCTTCGCTAATCGCCTCTAGTATGAGTATCCACGGTCCATGTCTGCCCAAATTTCAATTCGTTTCAACATCGTTTCTCCAAATATAGCAAGAATTCCCGCCGCTTACAAAGTCAATTCTTCCAGCTACATTTGATTTGATTGCGCCTTCCCGTGATTATTGATCATCAATCATAGCAATCACTGTACACTTTCGAGTTTACTTCACCGGAAAACGATCCGATCGCCACCGGGAAAGATGAAAACCAGAGGCAAAATAGGCGGCGGAGGTGGATTAATCGGTGGGTGGTCTAGTCTCGGTAGTCTCGGTTTACCTGCCGTATTTCTCTTATGCATCTTCTTCTTCTTCTTGGGATTCTTCGGTTCTTCTCTATTCTCTCAACAGGTTCCTCTTTTGTCTCCCCTAATTTTACATTTTCGAAGCTGTAATCGGATTCATTGTATCTGTAATTATGCTAATTGTAAAGTAAACCATTGACTAACAGGTTGAAACTGAATCTAGTTTACACCCAAAACCTAGGATCCTTAGTGAGAAAGGATACGATCCGTTGCCTCAAGGCGATTCGGGTGATGATTTCTTCACCACTATTCCTTTTCAGGTGCTTTTCTCTTGTTTCATTGTTCAAAGTTTAGCTTAATTGAAGCTATTCCAAATATCTGCCATGATAAAAGTCGTCAAATCGGGACATTTGACATTTCTGTGCAATTTTGATCGTGTGATTCATATTATTGTTAGATTTTAAGCTGGAAACCTCGAGCACTATACTTTCCTGATTTCGCAACCCCACAACAATGTGAAAGCATAATCAAAATGGCTAAAGTAAAACTCGCTCCTTCAACATTGGCTTTACGCAAAGGAGAAACAGCTGAAAACACAAAAGGAATTAGAACAAGGTATGCATAAATTGATAAAAGTCAAGAACAATAAGAATTCTCTTGGTTTTCTTATAGAATTATCTCTCTAATCTTTTTTCAAAACCAGTTCTGGCATGTTCATAAGTTCATCTGAAGATAAAACAGGGATCTTGGATCTCATTGAGAAGAAACTCGAAAAGGCTACAATGATTCCAAGAAGTCATGGGGAGGTTTTCATTCATTACCCATTACTCATTACTCATTACAATTTAGAAAGTTTCATATCAATTTGATACAAAAATTTGGTTTATTTTTCAGTCATTCAATGTTCTAAGGTATGAAATCGGACAGAGGTATAATTCACATTATGATGCTTTCAACCCCACTGAGTATGGCCCACAGAAAAGCCAACGGGTAGGTGACTTAAAATACAAATTAATGAAATTTGTTAAATAGTTATTACTGGTAAAATTAGGGTTCTATTAAGGTATTAAGTATGTTTTCTTGTTTATAGATTGCTTCTTTCTTGCTGTATTTATCTGATGTGGAAGAAGGTGGAGAAACAATGTTTCCATTTGAAGTAAGTTCCATGATTTAATCTAACAATTCAATAAGAATTTGTTAAATAATTATTGATTATATTGATCTAATAATAATACACAGAATGGTGAAAACGCGGATACAAATTATGATTTCAGAAAATGTATTGGGTTAAAAGTAAAACCACGAAAGGGTGATGGGCTTTTATTTTATTCTTTATACCCAAATGGTACTATCGATCCTGTGAGTTCATTTCTTTTATATACTAAAAAATTGGATAAAATATATTTATCTATGTTGTGGTAATTTCTTTTTCTTGAAGTTTGTTAAACTTGAATGGTTGATGATGGATGCAGACATCGTTACATGGGAGTTGTGCTGTGATTAAAGGCCAAAAATGGGTGGCTACAAAATGGCTTCGAAATGAAGAAGAATATGATTAGTTTAATTTGAACACCTTTTTAATATGAGCTTTTACCACTTCTCTGTTAATCTCTCAACATATATATAAATGTACATTTTTAATGTATTACTTTTAAGTTATCTGAAAGCTTGATTGGTATCTTGAATTAGTGGAGGATATAATTTTGAGATTATAGAGTTATCGTCTGAGTGTATACATATATGTATTATTGTCTTTTTGGTATTGTACTTTTTTCTTTTGTCAAAGATTTCAATTATGATTACTTGAGATGTTATAAGGTTAAAGTAATCAACATGAAGAAAAAATTATAAAATTTAAACGACCTTCACTAACAAAATAGCTCAAATATAATGGTTTTTCTGTATATGCCAAAATATAAGAAAATACGATATAGTTCCATTGTTTTATCGACTATTTATAATTTATAATTTATAATTATATTAATTGTTTGTTCCTTAAGTAACAGTAGTGTCTTGCTATTGGTCCAAAATATTTGTTTTTTATTTTTTTTATCAATGACTGAATGGGGCGATTTTTTTTCTTTTTTTTTTTAAAAAAAATAATCTTTTGACCGGTCAGTGGCTGTGACACATCTACAACTAGAACGATCTACAATTACGTGTCTTCCACCGCCACTGTACGCCAATAACAATGTCATATGTGTCACCTACTCAAATACAAAGTACTCCTCGATGCTTACTCTACCCTCTGCTCCCCCCATCGCCAACCTTCTACCCTATGCATACATACAAGCTTCCTCCAACCTTCTTCTACCCTCTGCTCCCTACACCGCTGCCCTAGAAACAACCTGCTTCGTCGGATTCTGCTGAAACCCTTTCAAGTCACCACCATCTTCTCCAATAGCATCCGATCTACTTCTCACCGCCTTACTCTTGCTAATTCTATGAATTGGTTAACCTTTGGCTCACCTTCTGGATTCCACCGGGGTTAATCCATCCACCGACTCCACCACCTCTATTTTTCTCTGGTACCGCCACCGGCCATCCCTATTCATCCACACTAACCAACAAAAGTGTATCGGGAGTTTCCGACGATTGCGACGGTAGCGCTATAGCACAGGATCCTCAGATATCGTTCTACTTGCTTCTTTCTTCTCCTAATTTGTTGGCTAATCGTGGCGTTCACATCTTCCCAGGGGTCTCTCGATAATTGACTCTTCGATTTTCCGTCTCCTCCTTTTCGTTGTCTTCTTGGTATGCTCTCAATTCCTACCGCTAATCGGTCCTTTATTTTTCGTTTTCTCTGATGGAGCCGATTTAGCATCGCCATTTACATTCGATGGCGAAGTCCAGCTGCTGAATAGATGGTTTGAAGGTTGGTCTCTGCAACCAACGTATCCAACGAGTGTGGGCTCAAAAGAAACCGACCTTAGTAAGCCTACTTCACTTCGATTTCAAACCTTTCGCGTCCATTGCTATTAGAAACCTAACTCTATTATCGTTTCTTCCCTATATTTTGCATTCTCTTTGGGATTTTGTTATGAGATATCTACCTGCAAATATGGCGACTTAAATGACCAAAAAATGAAAGGTTTGTCTCACCAATCACCTTTGTAAGTTGGCGTGATGTCTATTTGTCATACATCTTAGTGTACTTTGTTTTTGAGCATCAGTTTGTAGCAGATGGAAGAAGAGTATGATGAATGTCATGGCTTGGCTACGCCCAGAAGTAGCTACCTCAGAGGCTAGATATGGTATAAGGTACCTGAAGACATGGAGATCGGGCTAGAACTAAATGAAAATAGGCAAGTATCCAGGTTCAATGTATCTGGTTTTTATGAAGCAATAAAACCCTCAATCCCTGAACTTAGACCATATCAAAGGCGTGCAGCTTTCTGGATAGTCTTGATTATGGTTTATATGTTATTTTGTTAGTTCATCAATGGATATTTTGGACAAATATACCCTTGCTTCTTTGTTGTTGTTCTGATTGTCTTGATTGCAACGTCAGTCGAGTTTACCCTTGCTGAACATTGTTATATGTATGACTATCTATCAAAGGTCTAAACTAATCTTATAAAGGAATTGTACAGGTGAAGAACCCTAAAAGGGATTTGCCTTTGGGAATTGGGAATGTATATCTATATGCTGCATGTTATACATGTTAGTGAACCGAGAGTCCACTATTTCACTCCATACGTTTGCTACAAATTTGTAATGATAATATGTATATTTTTCAGGATATGGAGGTGCATTACTTTCAAACTTGCAAGTTTTTTAAAATATCATTTTATAGATTTCATGTTTCTGCTAACAATTGGCATACTACATTGTTACCAGTTTACCTCAAAGCATATTATCATGAACATGGATTAATGCAATACTCAAGATCCGTTTTTGTCATTCATAACATTGGTCATCAGGTTATTAATTAGTTTCGTTTCACCCGATTCCTACAACTGAATTCAGATTCCAATCCTACTCAATCACTCATCAACAATGAATATTCTCTTTCTTTCTAAATGCCTTCAAGGTGTTCGATAAAATGTCTAAGAGAAAGAAAACGCATTTCTTATCACCGAAGGAGGTCATCGTCTCCATAATATAATAAAACAACAACCAGAAACTAACCGGTAATAATTTGATTTTAATTTCACCCTGCTCTAATTCTTTCTTATGGTTTTGTTGTTGTATAGATTTGTTTTTCCTGTTTCAAGTTGATTACACATATATACAGGATAAAGAAGATGATAAGTTAGTGAGAGCTAATTCTATAACCTTGAGATTTGGGATTCAACAAAGAAATTGGTCACTGGATTTGGAGTCGCTTGCATTTGTAACCTTGTGCTCAGTGGCTTCAACACAAATCTTTTGGTATAAGCAAACCAATTTTCTATTTTTGGAATCTTTATAAAAAATATATATAAGTGTTGTATTGCTTTTACACTAATACATAGCAGAGAATAATGTGAAGTATGAAGTTTGAAGTACATATAACTTCTTAGACAACATACAAATATAACACAGACAATTTGGGAATGTAACTTTTTGGACGATAACAATAATACCACAATTCCTAGAATTCTTACGTGTAATCTATTGTTCAGATTTCTAAATTGACAATTCAAGTAAGCAGACTTGAAACAACACCGGAATTTCTGCCCCTCGCGGAGCGAGGGACCACCCTCTAGTTAGTGATTAAATAGTTATACTTCTTATTCTGATTATTTGGAAAAATGTTATTCCGGTTTATAAAATTAGGTTAAATTACAGAAAAAAAAGATAACCTTAATGAACATATTATTGATTTAGCAAATAAATAATGATCTTTTATTGATTTAACCAACAAAAAATTATTTGTGGTGATAAATTGTTATATATTTTTTCTATTGTTTACAAAAAAAAAAAAAAAATAGAATCTCAACGTTCACCCAAATTTAAGATTAAGGTAAAATATGTAAAAGCATAATGTAGTCTCACCAACTAAACTATTAACTTTTATTTATGGGTTAATGTCATTCATCTTATTTCCTTGGGGCTTAAAGTGGATTTTGTTGGGTTTAAAATGTCAATTTTTAAATTTTGAAAGGATAACCGGGTTACCCCTTGCCATGTAAGGTGTCATATAGGATTGGGTTTTGTTTAAGAGAATCCATCTCCAATCCTTCTTTTCAACAACCAACTCCAACACCACCACCGGATAATCAATCTTCGATCCTCCTCCTTTTTAACCTCATGCTTTCATAATGCAGAACTAATAATTATGAAGATTTCATCCAGATTTTGTCAAGTTTTTGATTTATAATCGAGTTTTGTTGCAGATCAGAAGTTTTCCCCAAATCATGTCGATTAGAAGTTTTCCCCAAATTATGTCGATTAGATTACACCATGAAGATCAGAAGCTCATGTATAAAGATAAAGAAATGGTGTCGAAAACGTTTCTTGATGTTGTTAGAGCAAAAGATAAATCGAGTTAGAAGTTGTTATCACAGAGATTACCTTGGAGGTGAATAGACTTGTCTGAAAGTTGTTGACCCTGGAGGGACCAAATTGTTAGATATTATTTCTATTATGCTGTATTTTTAGTGTAGCCCTTTATTGTTCGGCCCTTTATTTTAAGAGGCCTTTTACATTGTTTTTGTATATATATCTTTGATTGAATGAAAAGGATTTTTCAAGGAAAAATATCACGTATACATGTTATCAGACTACGTTCCTTAACCCTAGCCGTATCCCTTCTCCTATGCTCTAATTTTTTTCGTTTTTCCTGTGTTCCCTCTACTCTTGTTTCTGTCTTCTCCCTCTTCGTCTCCTCAATCATAACCGGAGAAACCCCTCTCAATACCGAAAAACCATCCACTACAATCAACATCAAACATGTTGTGCCTCTTGTTTTGGATCTTGATTAAATGAACTATGACATATGGATGGAACGGTTCGAAACTCACTGCATTGGTTTCAGTCTTGATGATCATCTCCAACCTCCAAACGAGAAGGCCGCCACCTCTACTGAATGGACTCGCCATGACTCCATTGTCAAGTCCTGGATTTACAACACTCTTTTTAAATCTCTCTTAACAATGGCCCACAAGAAAAAGTGTTCTGCATATATTCTTTGGAACACTCCTGAGAATCTCTTTCGTGATAACAAAGAGAACAAATCCCTTCAACTTGAAACTTGTAACAACCCGTTATTTCGAATCAATGTAATAGTATAGATCAACTTGTAGTTCTTTTTAAAATAATAAAGATAAATTTTTGTATACTATGCGTATTTTAATAATCGACCCTCAAAAATAAATTGTTCAATAATCTTAATTGGGATGAATAAAGTGGTAGAGATTGTAACAAGGATTCCAAAAATATAAAGAAAACCAAAATTCGAGTTATAACGAAGAAGTTATGACCTATCGAAGATCCGCGACAGAACCGGCAAAACACTGTTCAGCGTAAAAAGTGAGTTTTCAATAAAATGCTTTTTTGCCTTAGGTATCTAAATGAAAGTTGTAGTATACGTTAAACCGTGAATGTCTGTTAGGTGCATTTCATGTATCCATTTTGTAGCTTTATTTCATAAAAGTACATTGCATATAGGCTTAAACTCATGCATTTTGCATGTTTTTCGGGATTTTTCATGAGGCAATTTCATTCACATACTTTTGTGATATTTTAGGGACTTTTGGAGGTAGGATATTGTTGGAGGAGGTAAATAAAAGTTGCGGACAAA